TGTTGTTGTTATGTGCCGTATGTTAAGCTGGACTTAAGAAATCCCTAACCATAGGGATTTTTTATAAAAACAATAAATTTCTGTTGAAACACTGGACAAAAAGTTTTATAGACAGTATCATGTTGGTGTTAACCCCTCTGACAATGTCTTAGTACGGTCCGCACCCCCCCCAGTGACGTCACTGCTGCTATTATTTTTTTTAAAAAATAATTCAGCCAATTTAGGGTAAAATAAACCAAATATACTGCCCTCCAGTCAATCTAACGCATAGCGACCCCTCCTTGTACGAAAGTACATTTTCTGAGAAGTGGCTGCTGGGTTTGAACCACCAGCCTTCGGGTTAACAGTCAAATACCTTAAGCACTCCTCCACCAGCGCTGCCAATTTAGAGTATGGCATTAAAACTAAATCAAACGCCTTATCCAGCTGAAATCTTCCCGCAGATGAGTAATTTATTCAATAGTCTTAGTCAATACTCCAGGGTGGATCCTAGACACAGGAGCAACGTCCCTCGGGGTCATCCGTAGGGAGTAATTTCTAACTCGTGTGGATTTCTCTTGCGTTTCCACCAGCGTCCCCTTCAGCGCGCCCATCACCAAAGTCCAATTTAGTTCAACAGCCGCTCTCTATCCTTTTCAACGGTTTACGAGCTCCGCCTACTGGCCATCAACCTCTCTTCCTAGGAGCACAATGCGCATGCTCCTTCATCACTCCTTTTCCTCCCCCGCCCGCAGGTTTCTCGCGACAACCGGCCCTCCGGCAGCCTGAATCTCGCGAGAAAGACCAATTGTCTCGCGGGAGCGTGGCTGGCAGACGGGCTGTCGAGCGGCCGTGGCCGGGGAAGAGGAGTTGCATGTGTCACTTCAGCTGGTGGGAGCGGCGGGAGCGGAGGCGGCGGGAGCTGGGTGACCGCCTGGGTAACGACCCCTTGTGGCTCTCTCCCTTCAGAGAAGCTCGTGGAGAGCGTGGGGGAAAACTGAAATGCTGCCTGGCAAAGGGGGCTGGGCCGGGCGTCTCCACACCCCCGCCCACATGGGCCCCTCCAATGTCCCCGGGGTTGCCTCTTCGCCTCCGAACTCCTCCCATCAGACCTGGCCGACCTTGTCGCCTCAGTGCTCTCACATTCCGCTCTTTCCTGGTTCTGCAGCCCCCATTTTGTCCCCTCGGCTTCAGGCTCTGGTCTCCCTGCCCCCCCTTGTACTCCTTTTCTTGGCACTTCGCTGCCCCCACCCTCGTCCCACCCTTCATGGGCTTTCTTAACCTCTCGTCGCCGGCTGCGTTGTAGCCTTTCACTCTTGGCTGCAGTTCACATCCCTCCCAGATCACCCCTAGCTCTTTGCCCCATCTTTACTGAAGTCACCCACCCCATTTTTTTCATTTCTTTCCCATCACTGTCTTTCTCACGAGCCCCCCC